CAAACTTAAGGTCCTTGTGAAGAAAACAATGAGAAAACAATAGGCCTGGAAAGAAGGCCCAAGGATGCAGACCAAACTGACTGTGCAGACTTAGAAACTCACAGGTACTCCTGGGTGGGAGGATGGGTGGTTACAGAGAACAAGCCATGGGTAAAGGCTCACTGGTGAAGAGGAGAAACCTTTAGATGAGAGATGACCCCAAACCATCAAGGTTAGCAAGGTGTTGGCCAGTCATGGATATCAGACAAGACAGTATTCTGGTGTGTATCTCCCAGGCTCCTCTGAGCTTATCCTGAACTCTCAGAATCCTCAAAAGTTACCAAAGGCAGAAAAGATGTGCTCCTCCCATGAGTCCAACTTTGAACCAATATCTTCTGAGACAGGAGAATAGGTTTCAAAATTCTGACCTTGGGAACTAGATGCAGAGACAGCCCCTCCAGCCCTGCTGGGATCAGACTGGCAGTTCATATTGCTCTCCAGAGGCAGCTGGGGCTTCAGACATCTTACTTCAGCCCCAGGAGCAGAGCGATGGAGTAAAAGCTCTGGCCTGGATGATGAAGGCTGAAAAGACTTTCCACTCTGCCGCCGTGACTTGGCACGCCTGTTCTGGAACCACACCTGGAAGACAGGAGGAAAAAATTGCCAAATTGCTTTGAAGTTTTGTTCTTAGTTTGAGTTTTTGTTGAGATAGCATCTCTAGCCCAGGTTGATCTCAAACTCACTATGTAGCTGAAGATGATCTTGACCTTGAACTTCAGATCACTGTTCCTCCATCTCTCCAGGGCTGGGATTACAGGCATGTTCCACCACAACTGTTTTGTGTGGTGCTGGGGATTGAACCCAGGACTTCACGCATGCTAGACAAGCACTCTACAAGCTGAGTATACCCCCAGCCTGGGTTGAATTCTTATGTTATACTTTGTTCACAATTAACAACTTCTAGTTATTATTACTAGTAATGGTTCCCTGCTCCAGAGCCTGTGGCTTACTGAAGGCACTTTAACTGATGGTTTGACATTCAGAGCACCAGACTGTCCCTGCTATTCCCAGATGCAAAATTGGAATAGTGCCTGGTTCTAAATACACCTTTTTTTTTTTTTTTCATTTTATACTCTTTTTGAAGGCAGGGACTCATGTAATCCAGGCTAGCTTCAAACTCCATATAGTCAAGGATGCCCTTGAGCTCCTGACCCTTCTGCCTCTCCTTCCAAGTGCTGGTATATAGGCAAGCCACCACCATACCTAGCATCTTATCTACATGTTATATAAAACATTTGCAATGAGAAAAGAGGTCACAGAACTAAATTTATACTCTTTTTGAAGGCAGGGACTCATGTAATCCAGGCTAGCTTCAAACTCCATATAGTCAAGGATGCCCTTGAGCTCCTGACCCTTCTGCCTCTCCTTCCAAGTGCTGGTATATAGGCAAGCCACCACCATACCTAGCATCTTATCTACATGTTATATAAAACATTTGCAATGAGAAAAGAGGTCACAGAACTAAAAGCATTTGCAGTTCTTAGGAACCAATACTACTCTGCTTGAAGATGATGGGCATTCAAATTATTTAGAGTCAGATTTTGAAAGTCTGTACTCCTGGGCCAGGCATGGTGGTGCATGACTTTGATCTCAGCAGGCAGGAGGCAGAGGCAAGCTGATCTCTGTGAGTTCCAGGTCAGCCTGGTCTACACAGTGAGTTCCAGGACAGCCAGGACTACATAGTGAGACCCTATCTCACACAAAAGAAAACAAAAAACCAAAAGCAAACAGAAAGAAACACTGTACTCATTCATTCAAATGAATCAAGGAGATTTTTTTTTTCCTGTGAACTTCAACTCTGCATAAATTTCTTTGCCATTTCTCCATGAATACCAAAGATATCCTACTTAGGAAGTCTCTCCTACCAACTGTTGAAAATGATAACTGAATGGACTTGCCCAAGGTACGGGGCGGGGTGTGGGGGGGGAAGAAAGAAGAAGAAGAAGAGAGAAAGGAAGTCCACATTCTTCTAGGGTTAAATAAAGCCTCCTACTTAAAGCTGCACGAATGTGCTACAGATGAACAGTCAACAAAGCAGGCTTCTATGCTGTAACCCTCGAGATTACACTCAAGAAATTGAGACAGGAGTGTTATGAGTTCAAATCCAGCAGAGGCTACATAGTGAGACCCTGCCTCAAAAGAATACAACTAGTGATGACCCACTAGGTGTGATGACCCATGCCTTTAATCCCAGCAACTTGATAGGCAGAGGCAGACACATCTCTGTAAATTCAAGGCCTGCCTGTTCTACATATGGAGTTCCAGGCCAGCCAGGACTACATAGTGGACTCCAGGATTCTGATCTCAGTGTCTTCAAACAATAACCTCACTTAGAACCAGAGTTTTCAAACTCAAGTTCCCCGACACCTCAGGCTTGGCCCCAAAATGCTGGTGCTATATCCTTTGAACCCAAATCTCAGAAACAAAACCTGCCAAGAAAGCAGTCTAACCCTACCCAACTACTATTCCTAACCCCAAAGCGAGAGGGAGACTCCTTTGTCTTAATGAAGAGGAAAGTGCAGAAATCCTTCCTATTGTCTTCCTACCAGAAACCACGTGCTGAGCACTACAAGAAATCAGCGAACCTCTAACAGTCCTTACACATGATAACAAGGGACGTGTCGTTGAGTGCATATCTGCACTATTTACTGAGCTCCCTATTTTGTAGTCTAGAATCATGGGCTTCAAAGGAAGGAAGCAGCTTGTCCACCATCTGGGAGCCAGTGGCCCCTGGGTGTGGCCCAGTGAGCCTATGAATCCCCAGACCTACGCTCCAGCGTGCGCCTCACCTGGATCCTGGACTCCGGGAGCAGCGTGAGCGCTGCCAGGCGTTCCCGCAGGTGGATATCCGGGTACATGGTCTGGCGGAAGACGAGCTCCAGCAGCTGCAGCTGCTCGGAGCTGAACGACGTGCGCTTGCGGCGCTGTGGCGCCGACGGGGCGGCCGCGCCCTTGGGAAGCCCGGGAGGGACCAGTTCGACTGGAGGCGGCGCTGCGGGCTGGAGGCCCCGGCTCGGGAAGCAGGGTGGGGCAGTGGGAGCGCGGGAGCCCGGGTCGGCGGGGGGCGCGGGGAGCAGCAGCGGACCTCCGACGTGCTCGGCAGGGAATGTGGGGAAGGCGGCGGTGTCTGCGAACTGGAGGTGCTGGGACTCGGCTACGGCCATGGCTCCTGGACGCCTCCCGGGACCCCCGCGCGTCTGTAGTTATACGGACCCCGGGCCGGGGAGGGGACAGCGGCTCCATCAAAGGCCTGGACGCAAGGAGGCCCACGGCTCCTCGGGGTGCGAGCCCGCCCCAGCCCCGCCAGACGCCGCGGGAATAATCGCTTCCGCTGACCGCGGGACAGAGGGAGGGAGGCGCGAACTTGAGCCCGGCCGCTCGGTCCCCACCCCACCCATTCCAGGGGCTGCTCTGCCACCAATCCACATCCCCGGAGACGCTCAGCTCTCGAGAGGCCGCCCGGGGTGCGGGCCAGATTCGGACTGAACCCCCTCCTCTGGGTCAGGCTGCCTCTCCAGAGCACAGCGCTGGGATCTAGGGATCTGGGACCCTCCAGGTTCTCAGGTCCCGGCCCTGCGCCTGGCCCGTTGTCCGCTGTCATCATCAAAGGCGCTGTTTACCACCCCTGCTATGTGCTAGACCCTGTTCCAGGTTGGTCAAACAGCCCAGCCCTATCCTCCACAAACCTCCCTCACACATCCTGAATCCGAGGGGGGTGAAGATAAAGGGACCTCAAAGGGAACAGGCACACATCCTGAGCAAGGACTAAGCTCCTGCCTGGAATATCTGTGACTTACCTGTCAATAAGGCTGTGCTAGGCTAGGCGGGTTGAACGCCTGCACCCTGTTAGTGCTCCCGTGATGCGATGTGGTTTGCACTCAGATTCCCA